AAGAAAGGAAAAAGCACTGATAGAAATTCTAGGGGCAAAGTTTGCCGCACAACGTTAACGCTGTTTTATTGATTTGCGGAAATGAAAGTTTAGCTAAGCTTATGTAACTACTTAAATTCAAGTGAAAACATGGGGTGCCGAAATTTCATTTTTGCGTGAAGCAAAAGCTTTATTAAACATAACCCGGTTAATTTTCCTTCTCGAGTTAAGTTTGAGAAGACCAGGAGGTTTACAAACATTGCCAAAGAAACAAAAAGTGTGTATTGTTTGACAGGGTTATTGAAACTGCGAAAATGTTGATGCAAAAAGCATGCCATAAATACGAAAAATTTTGAAACTCTCGCATCAACACAGGTTTCCCATTAAAATTATAGTCTTAAAAAACATGAACTCAGTTGTTTTTATCTTAAAGTAATTTTCTGGCGAACAGTTATTAATGGAAACTTCCCCAAAATTATTCCTCTCCCTCACGATTGTGTCTGAAAAGGAAGCACCTTACTAAGCTGACGTTGGAGTTAATTAAAAGCTTTATTCCTCAATTAAAAATTCAGGAAAAGTTGTCAGTGTTGCACTGGTTTGGAGGTTTTTTCGATTTTTCAGCTTTAGGTAAAGAACGAGAAACTTAATCGAAAGAAAAACCAAGGAAAGGTTGAGCTGCATAGGTGATAAAGTAACGCCAAAATTTGGTTTTGACATGATGAACAGCCAAGTGAATTGAACAGGCTTAATGAAGGCAAAACAAGAATAGTCCTAAGAGTTTCAATTGATTGTTTAAACATGAAAGAAATTTTAGCAAGTCTTATTCAGTTTTTTTTTAAAGTGCCGGACAGGCTGTTTATTGAACATAAAATCGAATCGAACATAAAAGTGTGCAACACTGAGCTAAACATAAAGCTCAAAGGATCTAAAACCTGTCGCAAAATGAGTGCTTTCAGTGGAAATTTCGTTATTAAAAACAAGAATATTATTTTAGAAATCTATTTTCTTTAGCCAAAGACCTGTTAACTTTTTTCGTACGAAATACAATCATTACTGGGGTACTCACCTCAGAGTTTTTAGTATCTTCAGGTCCTTCACTGCAGCAAGAAAGTTCTGATTTAGCAAGAAAGATGAGCTCCGTTTTATAGAAAAAAATTTGAAAAGATACAATTCCGAGGAACCAAATAAGGAAAAAGGAAAATTTGTCGAAGATGATTTTATCAAGTGCACAACTCTTATAAAATGGGTCAATTGATTGAAACATTGCGGAATCGAAAGCATCTTTTCTTTTCAGGACGATTTCCTGTACAAATTTTCCTTAATGGCCACACCTTAAAACGACTCCTTGAAGGATGGGAGTAGGAAACACTAACTAGACTTGAAGAATTGATAGTTTAAGTTATCATGTAACTATATTGTAAAAAGTGACGCTCCTATTAAAAAGAATATAACTTTTTCGATTTGTAAATATTCATAACATCATAAAACAAAGGTTGACTAACGGCTTGTTAAATAGGCTTGAGTTAAAAACTTCCTGTTTGAGCTCAGCATTATTAGACTTATTATCTCTTTAAACATAATCTTTTTTCTTTGAATTGGTTCATTTGCTAAAGACAGGAGTGTGTGGAACTCTTTACTAAAATACTAGAGGTCTGTGACTTATGACAATCGCAGAATAAACGTCGCAAACTTAGGCGACAACTTCCAAAGCTTGCTGATATTCGACCCGGAAAAATAAAACGGGAAAATGACAATTAAATGACCACAACGCCATTAATGTGTTTTTAAAAATAGGTTCGTTTAAAGCTAGCTGTAGATGACTACTGACCCGCGATCTTTAAAAGTCATTAAATATATTTGCTAGGGCTGGCTCAGTCTAAAGATACTAGAATGCTTTTTGATAATCAAAAATCATATTTACCACAATCATTTTAATGATTATTGCTCGTTTAGTTTTCCCAGGTCAACCTCGTTCCCAGGGTTCTCTCCTACCCTTCCCTACCGAGCGAGAGAGAGAGAGAGACGGGTAAGATGACTTGACTCACTGTTAGTAAAAAAGGCAGTTATTACGAACACTGGCCAATCAAGTCAGCAGCTTTTAGCGTCTTACAAACGACTCACTAACAGATAGTCATTTGGATCGAGCAAATGAAAGTTTTCCCTGCCAATCACTGATCAGCAAATATCCCATAACAAAAGAGGATCGAAACACCATTTGTGTTCTAAGGTCTTCATAGCCAAAACAGACGACTTTGACCAATTACAATTTATAATAAAAGTTTCAGAAACGTCGAGAGGTTTTTTTTTTACCCTGGAACCAGGGTAAAGAAACTAAGCGCAGGCAACCAATGGAGAAGCCCAGTAAATACTTTAGTTTATTACATTTTTATTTGAAATAGTAAGAGTAGCCCGAGTACAGCCGCCTCAACCCTCAAATAAAAAAGGGAAATTTCTGTACAGTGAGAACCTCTGCGGACAGAGCACGCCGACGATAAAACCAGTAGTATTTAAACAGATTATGGGTACTTACGCTGAAAAGTCTTCTTACCCATCCCAGCACAAACTGAATGATTCTGCCAAGCTCAGCCCTTTAGAGCGGAGACACAAATACGTTGCCGTATACATATTAGAATTGTAAACTGTAGACTGGTGTCTGCTTTAGAAAGCCCCCTCTTGACACTTTTAGAGAAAAAAAATTGACTCGACTTGATAAGTATTCGAGATTGTAAGTGAATTAGTGCTTCAAATTGGCAGATTTTTTTCTATAAACTTAACATGCCAATTATTTAAAAGGTCACGAGATCTCACTAGTCCCTAGTCTCCCCATTGACGTATCCTTTCACGTCTAACAATAACATTCACGTGAGAGAATTTTTATGCCATACCAAGAGCCATTATGGCTCTTGGCCGCACTTTATTTTTTGCTTTCGATGAAGACAACGTGTACATAAAATCAAGTAATATTTGACTTTTATCCACTTGTCCTTTACATATAAATAGTTTGATTTATAACCTTAGCACCTTCTCACTAATTCCGATTGTGTTGTATTTGGAAAACAATGTATAGGTGAGTCATGTTAGCGCAGTGTCAGGCAACAAAGGTTTGAAGTCAAGAGCAACGCTTCTTGACACTTTAATCAAAAATACGTTGTTAACCGTAAGACATGCCTTAGTCTTCAGCAAAATGTACTACTGTTCGAATGTTTGGGCAAATATCACAAATACGAATGTTGGAAAATTGCAGGCCGTTCAAAACTTTGCTTGCCGAAGTTAAGTTGAGTGTTGTAATTAGTTATTTTAAATAACGTAATGCTTTTTAATAATCAATGTTCCTGAAATTAAAGCCCCTTTGGGGAGGTAACAATTAAGTATGTATTTGAAGCAAGTATGTAAACTAAGTGGTAACAGTAAAGTGGAAGGATAGAGAACAATTATACAACTGATCCAGCTGTTGTCGAACATGTTCTCAATAAGGAACTTGTGGTGGTGTGTGGGTGGTTTCGTAATAACAAGATGATCTTGAGCCCTGAAAAATGCAAGGCGCTGGTTCTTTCGCGAAAACCTAATGTCAAGCTATCACTATTTGCTGAAGGTGTTGCCTTACCACTAGTTGATACAGTAGATCTGTTTGGGCTAGACTGCAAAACAGTCCGCATTTTTGCGTACTCAAGTACCTACGCGCGAGCAGTCAAACAAAAGGTCTGGAACGAGGCTGAAAACAGAGAGCAAGACTTGGGAGAGACGGTTTTTTTCTCTCTTTACTGATTTTGAGAAAAACGCCGACTGTTTTGCAGTCTAGTTTGGGCTAACATTGGACACGATTCCCTGAATTTTGGAAAACACATTACGAAAATTAGCAAGAAAGTTGGAAAGTAACTAGATGTTCACTGTAGACTAAAGAATATATTATCGTTTCGGACCAAACTCTGTCTTTATAATTCGTTCATAATGTCTCATTTTCATTACTGACAGAAGCATGTTTGTGGCCAAATCAGCCCAGAGTTTGATTGCAAAGTATCTCATCAGAGAGAGTAACTGGATTCTCTCCAGCGACTCAGAAGAATTGATGTAAAACAGGACTGTGAAAACTAATGACCCTAGGCATGTCATTGACGGGTTGAGGTCAATGTTGAATTCACAATGCACAGCATCTAGCCCTGCACCTGTAGCTGATTTTAAGTTATAAGAATGTTGCTGTTGGAGGATTCGTATCGTGGGCAGAAGATTTTACAAGAAAGCAAACTGTTTCCTCGTTGCTTGGATTTGATTAAAGCTGGCAGTGCAACAGTCTGTAAAAAAACTGGTTGACATCTTGTGTGAATTTTCAAAAAAATACGAGGTAGCAGCTAGTGTCCCCATTAGCTATTAAGCTAAATACTTAAGACACTATAATAAAGGCTTTGCTGTTGTTGTTGTTGGTTTATCAATAAAATGCAATGTTTGGTTATTAACAGGGTGCAAAGAAAGTCAGTTTTACAGCTTGCCATTCGGGCAAGCTGTAGCTAGAATTAATGTACTAGTCCAGAGTCACTTTAAGTAGGCCGAAAATTTTTTTTTGAGCATCAGGATTTATTACAGTTCTTCTGTAATATGAATTCCCTAAAAAACTTTACCCTGCCCATCGGGCAAGTTGAGAACAGAATTCACTAGCCGGCAGTAACAAAATCCACTAGCCCTGGGCTATGGGACACCAGTTTCTTTGCATGCTGGTTATGATATAGAGTGATTTTACTTGATCCATGAAACAGAGCATAAACTAAAGAAGACAATGCAATTAGTGCATAATAACTTGTAAAGTAAATTCACTCTAGATGAAGAATTGTAAAGCAATAAATTATCATTTTGTTTCTTCTCAGAACGTGGGAATTAAAGTGAAATAGTTTATTCCCAACAAAAGAGTCAAGTGCCTTAAGTCTTCTTCTTGGGAGGTTCATGTGTTGATCCTTTTAAAAAGGGCCTTATTGTTAGTGGACTTGAGTTGGTATCTGGGCTAGCCTTTTGTCAAGGAAGTTCCAGGTGCAAGCGATTAGAAATGGAGAATGGATAGCAAAGCTTAAGCGTGGGGAATGGACACCAGTACATAAGAAGGATGATAAACTGGATAAACAATGGGATATAAACTATAGACCTATCACGGTGTTGCCATGCGTGAATAAAGTTTATGAAGTACTGTTGGGCCAACAAGACAGTAAGTTTATGGATGACAGACTTAGTGATGCTATCACTGCCTATCGTGCAAAGAATAGCTGTGAGACCACGCTGATAAGGCTGACCTAAACATAGAGAGCAGAATTAGACAGCAAGAAAATTGCCGGTCATCGGATATGAGCAAGGCTTTTGACTCTCTCAGCCCTCAGTTGTTCATAAATAAACTACAGGCCTACAAATTCTCTGATAAAGCTATACAGTTAATAAGATATATTTTCAGGGAAGAGAGAATAGAGTAAGGATACGTTCAGTAACAAGTGACTGGGTTGTGGTGAAGAGAGGATGTCCACAGGGAAGCATGTTTGGACCACTTATGTGGAATATTTTCCAGAACAATATGCCTAACATAATATCAGATGGCAACGTCTCGATGTATGTAGATGACCATCAGGTCTTTGTAGCAAATAAGACAACAAAAACTGTGGAGAAGATACTGGTGGACAATGGAGAGAGGATGACTAAATGGTATCAAGATAATCTTTTAAAAGTCAATTGCGATAAATATCAAGTTATGGTTTGGGGAAATCCAAAAGGAGAAAGGAACGTTGATCTAGATATATATCGCGAAAAAGTTAAACAGTCACAATCCATCAAGATCCTAGGTGTAAACCTAGATGAAAACCTAAACTTTAGAGATCACCTCCGTAGTGTGTGTAAGAAAGTTGGCAGGATGATCGGAATATAAAGAAGGCTAAAAAATTTTATCCCAGTCAATGCCAAGTTACACTCTAAATCAGAAAGATCTGTTTTAGCCCTAAAAACAGGGCCGTGTCGGTGAGTAAAATACAGTCCTATTTTTGGGTCTAATTTGACTCCCTTAAATCAGGGCCAATACAGTCCAATTAGCTAGGGCTGATTTGGTCCCAGGGCTGAAATGGGCCCTACAGTGGGCTGGAATAGCCTTTTGATAGAGCTTTTTTGGCCTAAATTGTGCTCAAATGGCTCAAAGAAAGGCTGAATCAGACTTTGGCCTGCAGGGCTGAATTGACACTTTGGGGCTGAAACTGATCTTTTTAATTCAGTGCTCCGTTAATCGATCCATTTGAGCGAGCGACACAGCTAGTAAAAGTTTGCATTAATTCATATATTGTCGAAAAAAACAAACAAAGAATAAAAATTATTAACTGCTTTGAATTTGAAATTAAAGCAAAGTTACCCCGTGTGGGGAAAAACGTGCCGTTTTTTTTCTCTCGAGCAATAGCATATGGATCTCTTTCCCTTTTTTCTTACCCCCCAGATTTAAGAGCGAGCGTGAAATAATGACGCTAAGTTAATGTCAACCTGCTATTTTTTTGTATTTGCACATCAGTTAAGTGTGCACTTTTGTGCTCACGAAAGTAAATAGAGTAAAGGGGTTAAAACTTCCTTTTCTAATCGACCTCTTTTGACCTAAATGTTTCAAAATTTGTCTTTACCTCTAATGATTCCTAATCAATCAGTTCAGTTTCTCTAGTATGACTGGCATGGGTGAATCTCCACAGTGATATCTTGTGTTAGAATTCTTCTTCTTCTCTAATATTTTATAATTTATTTTTTATCTCAGTTAATTTCTATTTTTCTATTGTTTTAGGGTATGGTAATGTATGCTTATTAGTTTAGAGCAAAGGAAAAATGAAAACTAACTAAATTGAAAAATTTACTGCAACATATATCTGTACTCTTCTGCTTCCGGTCCAATGGTTTGTTTTCGGGTTCCACTGTAGCAATTTGTGACAATACCAAGTAAACCGCGTCGCACTGTGAAATCAAAAAATGTCACAAATGAATGGTACCCCTTAATGAAATGTGATAACGTCACTTACGAAAATTTCTTGTCTCCGCTCTTTAAAACAGGTAAATTCCCCTTTCATCGAAAATTTATTCAAATTCTAGTTTAAACGCAAGTTAAAGTGGTTTGGGCATGTATCAAGATCATCAGGGCTTGCCAAGACGATTTTACAAGGAACAGTGCAAAGAGAGAGAAGAAGGGGGCGACAAAAGAAGCGTTGGGAAAACAACATCGCTGAATGGACAGGGTTGAAGTTTTGTGTTTTTTGGTTGCGCTCTAATCTAAGTATTGATAACATAATTTCTGCTCAAAGCGAGGTCTGAAAACGGGTATGGATTTTAGAGGTCTGGTCTGAAAACGGGTGAGGAAAATAACATTTTTTGGTCTGATATAGGGTCAGGATTTGGAGAACAGGGCGCACATCCCACCAAGAATTCCCAAGAGAAGCTCCCCGAACGTGAACAACTAATTCTTTTACGAGTTTGTTCAAGCGTGAAACATGCAAGTTTGTCGAGACAAACTGTTGCGTTACCGTCTTAATGTTTCTGTACGTGTAATCAAGATTTATTTTACAAAGAAACTTGTTTTGTGCCGTTTGTGAAGCCATTTCACTCGTTCAAATTAAAGTCAGTTTTGTATTCATATTGCTCGACAGAACGGATTTCCTATGTTTGAGCTCCGTCCTGGTTTGTGACAGCCTCAGCGCGAATACAGTCGTTACTCCTTCCTCCTCGCCGCTAAGAGCTGCTAAGGACGCTTCGCCAGGCCGTCCCTAGCGGTGAGGAGCAAGGAGAAATGAAGATTAGCGGGAAGGTTTGTCTAGACTGAGTCGCATATTTTACGCTTGAACAATTCTGCCGGTGACTTTTATTTTGGCAGGTCAAAGCATTTGTTATGTGCGAAATCGTTTTAAAATCACTAAAATCGTTGTTTAGTGCAAGTTTCGACCAGAGGAAAGGGTCACAGTATCTTATAAATGCTTTCTATATTTAACCTATTAGAACAAGGCAGATGGGAAATCTGAGTTTCTGCTTAAAGAGAATCTCCTATCACAGTTTGCCTTCAGCGTAAAAAGTTCCTGTATTTGACTTGGAAATTGATTCTTCTTTGCCTTGAACATGAACCGAAACGCAATTTCCTGAAGCCTTCTGTTGACAATGTGAAGGGGGTTCGGCCAGCTTCAGCAGTTCTTCGTAGGAGCCCGGGGGGAACTCCCATGCATATTTGGCCTATACAGGTATGTGCCGCTGAACAGGGTATAGTTTTCAAGATCTTGGTTCTTTCGGGACTGGAAACCTTTCAAAGAGTATGAAGACTTGCGATGAGCGGTCTACGTTTGCAATGCCAATAATTTTTTTTCCTAAATAACTATTTCCACGATTTTAATGAGAAAAATTAGTTAATTCTGTATGCAAAACAACAAAACAAGTTAGGGTTAGAAAGTAGTGTCTCCTGTCTTAAACAGGGTAGCGAAATGAACAATTTTTGTATTAAACAGAGTCGGGACCGTGAAGGCCTCGACGGCACAGCTCTACCAAGACTTCCCTTGGACCCTGTTTTGTCTATGAGAGAAATACGAGCGCAGAAGGTGGACAGATTCCGTTAATAGTGTAGCAGTGCGCGGACGCACGCGCAAAGTGTACGCACACGGAAACTAAAAAAAAAAGCGATTATCGATAGCCGGGAAAAAATAAGCCTTGACAAAAAAAGCCTACAGAGTCAGGCTAAAAGCTGTGGTTCTATTTTGAACCCAGCGAAAAGAGTAAGAAATCATGCAGACTGAAAGTACTTTATTCCCCTGGTAGATTTGTTCTTCAATTTGCGACCGAGGACCGAAGATGGAAATAGGGGCCTGTAGAAAAGATCAGTGGTTTGTAAGAATTGAAAAGGTCAGTATGGCCGATTCTTGTACTTCTGTTTAAGATCTTTGAGAGTGAAAACCGCTCAGATTACAATTCGCTCAGCTCCAAGACCCTTTCCAATTTAAACCTTTTGTGACAACTAACAAACCTGGAGCGAGGACAGTGAAATTCAACCACAAGATTTTTCTAAGGGATCGATTGCTTGAACAATAATTTCTATACATTTTCCTATTAGTAAACAGAGAGCGTGTGATGATCAGTGATGCATCGCGTGGGGCAGTTCCGAATAGCTGGCCATAGTTCATTTTTTTTACCCTAGGGGATACTCCCTTATTTTAGCCATATAGGCATGTGCCTCCACAAATGGTAGGCTTTTGCGCCGTTTTGATCTTAAAACGGGTATACACTTCGTCCATTTTGGTCTGGAATCGGGTATGGTTTTCGAGGGAACTACGGCAGTGTCACAGGGTCTGAATGTATTCCAAATGAATAAGAAATAAAGGATAATATGCGAATTCGAAATGTATTTAAGAAATCTTTTTATTGGTGTTCCAGTCTCAGCAATTAAATGTGAGTACCTCCAGGTCTGAAAACGAGTATGGATTTTATAGAGGCCAGTTCTGAATATAGGAGTGGAAAATTACATTTTTGGTCTGAAATAGGGTCAGGGTTTGGAGAATCGGGCGGCACAGCCCCACCAAGAATTCCGATAAGTAACCCCCCGGGATTTTTTATATGATTTTCCGCGGAGGGCGGAAGAGGGCGGTTAGATCTTCGGCAAGCTATACAAGGTTTCAAAACAACCATTTTCGGACTGAGACTTTTTCATTTATTAGAAAGGTAATGAAGTTCTTGCTCATACAAGTTAAAAGCGTTTGAACCAAATGTCATATCACTTTAAAATCATTTTTTCAAGCAAAACGGGTAGTATAATCTCTAATCTCCATTAAAGACAGCACTGGTGGATAATGGAAAACAAGGAAAAACTAGCTGTGGATATTGGCTAGAGCTCTAATATCCATTAAGGAATATCCATTGTTCATAGCAATAATGTGGATAGAGGTAATATGAACTCTGATCTGACTACATGACTCAGCTCTCAGGCAACACGACCTGCCGATCGTTGAGGGACTAGCTGAGCTTTTACCTTAAACAAACGAAAATACGCGACGCGCAAGCCAAAGCAGTTTTTAGCTGACTTTCTTTTTTCGACATACCCGTCGCCATGTGGCCACGATTTCACACTGGACTGCTTGAACGATTTTAACCTGCCGGCAGGTATTTCATAGTCTCTTTAGTTAAGAAAATACAATATACGCCAGCCGAAGCGACCCGAGGTCTCCATCTTTACACGTAAAACGGTTTATCTTCAGGGATTCTTTAGGGAAATGGCACAGGGACACCAAACGACGGTTACCTCCTAAATGCATTGAAAACACTTTTAAGGCAAAGCA